GGGTTTAGGTTTAGGGCCGTTTAGGGGACCAGCCCCTTGGATAAGCACTGCTGAACATCAACGGTAAGGTGATTACTCAATATGACGGAAGGCCGGGATGGTCATCTGTGAAACACCCCGGTTCCTCCCCATACACTGTTGAATGTGCCGTGGCACCACTGGGCAAGCTGGGTTGGCCCTCATCGAAGCTGAACACTTCGCACTTGACACCTGCTTTCTCAACAAGGCTACGGGTCGAGGACTCTTATCACGGATATTTTAGGCTCCCGGGTTTTAGGATTAGTTTTAGCTGATCTGCAGGATGGTATCCTTGCCGTAGGTCCGGTCCCTCGTATATAGGGTGACGAACCCCAAAAACGATAATCTGAAACACTCCCTTTAAAGCAAGAACAATCCTCACAAACCCTGCAGTGCACGGCGCCAAGGCACTGCGTCTGTGCGTGATGGTCGTATTCTGTGACTAACCCCCCNNCCTCCAACCCCCCCCCCCCGGGCCAAGTTCAGCTGAAGCTCCTCCGACCCATCGTCCCTACTCCTAAAACCCTTACAGTAATCCTATTTTGGCTCCTGCCGGGAATCCCACATCCGAACTGAGGTGCCCATCCACGGTGCTCGGGCGTAGGCATTCGGGTTTAGGTTTGGGATTGAGGCTTTCAGGTCTGAAGTCGATGGTTGAGGGTCTTGGGTTTGGGGTTAAGGGCCCAGGGCCCTGGTTGTACTGGTTTCAGTCGAGGCCAATCTGTGTTTTCGGGCAGAACAGCTATTGCCGCCTGTTGCTTCTCTATCTTCAAAGGCTGGGTTCTGCTAGCAACAGGCAATGCCCAGGAATCACTTGAACTTTTCCGTGTGCATCTGAGGGAGGCCTACAGCGGAACCTAGCAGCAGGAAGCACTGCTTGAATTTGTCATGCCATGCACCTTTCACTCCCCAATCCTTCTGCGGGGCCAGCTGTGCTGGCACTAGTGGCGAGAAATGGAAGAGAAAGATGCGCAGCGTGCTCTCAACCTGCGCCCCTTGTCGATGAGACTGTCATGCCGCAATATCTACCTTAACCAACCAGAACCTACCTGTTGTAAGGTCTCTATCAACTCCGATCCTTCTGAACTTGTTAAAACCTGTCTACAACCCTAAACCCTAAACCTTCAACAGTTCTACTTCCCTTGTCCCAGAGGCCTAGCGGTTCCAGAAGCCAACGAAGGCTCTCTAGTCGGTAACTGGAAAGTCTGAAAGAATAAGACCCCTGGTTGACAACCGCCACGCTTTCGACACTTGAGGATGCATGGTGGCTTGGGATACATAGGGGCCTTGACAAAAACAGGAGAAGGTACTTGGGTATTTTATTGTATTATTAGTATAGCAAAGCAACAGGGGATGCAATTACTAGTTATTCCGACCCCTTTATAGGAGTGCTGCCCTGGCACTCGACCTAAGGTGCATGCTCCCACCTCCGATCACGGCGTCGCATCGCAAAGTGCTCCAGAAAGCGATCACACCCCCAACCTCCCGAGCTTCCGACTTGGGCTTTGTTAGGCTTTATAGTTTTGCGCCCCAAACTTCGGCAGGGGGCCAGTGGTGCTTAGACTTCTTTTGAAGCAAGCCATCGAGAATGATTCCACAATCTAGTTCTGTAAATTGTGTTGCGAGCCTCCGAGGTGCGTTTGTAAAGGTCAGGGTCTATAGAGTCCAGAGTCCAGGGGTCGGTGGTTTGGGGTTGAAAGATCACTGGCAACAGTATGCCCGAGCATCAGCACACTTCTTCAGATCCCTCGGAACCTTCAGCCTTAGCAGGTTGCAGCAAGTCAGGCTCGCAGATCCTTAACTAAGGGATATGAGTCCAAAGATCGCAGGGCTCCTTGATCCCTAATATGGGAACCACGATCGAGGTTCTTCTGGGTGAGCCAAGCCTCGCCTTCATGAATGTAACCCGTGTGTGGCCGACAATTACTTTACTAAATTCGGCTCCCACCCGAAGCTTTACAGCTCACATGAACAAACTGTAATGGAACACTTCAAAAACCTTTTTTTTTTTCAGCAGGCTTGTTGGTTCTCGCCTGGACAAGCTGTTCATGTTCGCCAACAGGTGTAGACCCACTACAAAAACCCTATCTCTTGAACCCCTGAACCCTAAACCAGTCATAATCCCTCATAACGCAAAGCAGGACTTCAAGCTGCCAAGGCCCACCTCGTGGCTGAAGAGATCTTCGTAGTGCACCTTCAGGCCTAACTCTACGTCTCCCAGCTCGGTGGCGATGCTGATGCGGCTGACGAAAGTCTCCTTCTGTGCGTCTAGAGGGTCCATGTACCCGAATAATAGATACGGTGGCCCCAGAGTATACCTATAGAGGGGCTATATACTTTAAGGCCAAAGTGGATGCTAGATGGGCACATGGACCCTTCGGGACATCTACAGGGCTTACAATTTACTTAGAAACACACTGTCGAAACAGCCTCAACCAGTCGGACCCCTAAACCCTAAGCCAAAATTCCATACCCTGGAGGACCGAACGGATCCTAAGCTTGCGAAGCTTGTTGAAACCACTGCAGTAAGAACACCGAACGTATGCCAACCAAACCACCAGCTTCTCTAATATCTCTTGTAATCTCTTAGCCTTGTTCTTACCGCTATAGTGTCTTGAATTACTACTAACTCATATCTCCTTGTCGTCAATATCCAGGCCGCAGTTGCTGCAAACGGTTCTACGCCGGAAGCTGCATTGCTTCCACATCGTCGCGGTCTGTAGCCAGTCCACGATATCGGCGGCATTCACACCGGCGAAGCCTTGAAAGTGTTTGGGGTTTGGGGTTCAGGGCTTAGGGAGCCTTGAAAGGGTTTAGGGTTCAGCTAGTGTGTGGAGAATTGCGCTAACTTCTGGCTTCGGATTGAGTGTTTTGGCGGTTTGCAATATGCTCCTATCCTCTATTCACTCCTCCCGCAAGACAGCGGCAACGAAGAGGGGGGGCTGCACTGCTATCATGTGCGATTAATTGACAGCATCGAGGGGGCAATTCTTCTGGCTTGGATGCCATTGGGCTGGCTTTTTGGTCGCTCTGCGAGGAAAGCTCCCTCAAACATTGGATCTCATGCTGCACTGCAAGTTCCGTGATTCTGCAGGGTTTGGCTGCTTTCAGTCGATGCGTCGCATCATTCTCTCTGCTTCAGACCGTCCTGCCTGTATCATATATGTCGGACATACTTTTCTCATATAGCCCGAATGTTAGGAAGACCGAATGATGCTCTTTCGTGGCATTAGGCGAACCACCTTCAACCTCTAAACCCATTAACGCCTGAATCCCCCGAAGATCCTTCGAATGAACCAGCCATGGAACCCTTGATCCCTAATTTTCTCATAAATCCTATTACCCGCATACCCCAAGCCCTAGACCCTGTATAGCTTTGTCCACGAAGCTGGCTTGTTGGAGGCTCGACATCGCCAGGCTAAGTGCCAGCTCGCCAGCCAGCTCCCCACTTCGGCAGCTGTGGTAGTCGCCAAGGATACCTGGGTCCTGCTTGCCATAAACGCTTATAGGGTTTTGGATATGTATATATATATATATATGTGTGTGTGTGTGTACGTAGACATTATATAACGGCATAATCATGCAGGGATTGTGAGGGGATACAACTACTACGTATCATTACACCCAAAACCCGAACCGCCCTAACCAACCCGAAACCCTAAACCCTAAACCCTAAACCCGAAACCCGAAACCCTAAACTCCTAAACCCTAAACCCGAAACCCTCAACCCAAGAAGGGGTGTCCTCTGGATCGATGCTGTCGGCCTCGTCCAAAAACGCTGCGTTCCACTTCGGCCGGTGCTCGTCGCCTGGGTTGAGACTTCCGGCTCTCACCAGCGAAAAAAAGCGCGAGAGGCTTAGGGATTAGGGTTTAGGGTTGAGGCTTACAGGGTTTAGGATTTGGGATTTCAGGGTTTAGGTTTAGGGTTTAGGGTTTAGGGTTTCAGGGTTTAGGGGTTAGGTTTTCGGTATACAGCCTCTTGCTAGTCAGTCAACCAAACAGGATATAGAAAGCAACAACATATGCCACGTCAAGCCAGCCTCTGCGCGGCTTCATGCAAGCCCAGGCGTGCAAGCAACGGAAGCTGACAAACTTCTTCGTGGCCCGATGCACATACCGAGCCATGGGGCTCTGAAAGAATAGATCTTGCAGTATAGATGCCACAGAAAGGCACGTTGCCTGCAGCTCAAACGCTGCTGGCAAAGGCATCAAGGATGTGGCTGACAACATCGGCGGAGAAGTAAACCGCAGAAAGCTGCATAGCAGCACGGTTCCAGCATCTTTCTTGTGTGCTGCGTCCGTCGTCGACATGGCCGGCACTGTCTGTCTTAGCATCTCGACATCCCTCCATGCTTGGGGCTCAAGCTCTGAACTTAGGAGTTTGGAGATTGCTCGTAGACACAACCCTTACCGACCCGTCGCACATCGAAGAAGATGGCCTCATCATAGAGCCGACTTTCTCTGAGCCCATGATACTGATACGGCCACGTCTCGTCGGGCCGACTTACCTAGCCTTCCAGTGCCCAAACAGAAAAAACTGTAGGAAACCCTTCCAAATCACCACAACCATGGAGCCCAACCACCCCAGCTGTATAGAGCTTTGAAAGGCACGTGAGCATCAGGTACCACTAACTAATTCGGATTCCATAAGCCTCACTTGTGAGGTTCTGGCTGCTCAAGAACGTTGTCTTTCATGCCCCGCAGCCTTCGCCACACAAGCTGCAGTTCCAAAAACAAAACAAACGTGGAAAGGCAGGTGACACATTCACAGCCAACAGGGCTAAAAGATCATTGCTGTAACCGACCGGCCACTACAGGAATCCCATCATTTCATCATCATCATAATAATCATCTTAATTCATGTTCATGATCACCATCACCATGCCATCACCATCGTCGGCAGTATGATCCATCATCGTAGTCGTGGTCCGGTTAAGCAATCGAACGGCTTTCGTATCTGCATATCCTGCACCACACGCAGAGCCTCCGCATAGGCGATTGCGCCGCCATGTCAAAGCCTGAGAAGTGACTGGCACAAACTCTCGGGGTCGAAGGGGTTAGGTCCGGTTTGAGCAAAACTGATCCAGCCCTTGCTATGCGGAGTCCTAATCTAGAGAAGGACTTTCAACTTCTCAACCGATGGACCCTCCCAGCCAAAAAAACGCACTGCCCGGCAGAAAAGCATCTCGTCAGGACAAAGCTTGGGCAGGCTGGGCGACCCGTCGTGATATGTAGGGATGAAAGCTTCTTGATTTGACCCGATGCAAACAACCACAAAACCCCAAAGTCCCTCATAGAACCTGTGGAAGGTACCCTTATGAGCCTGCGTAAGAACCCCCATCAACACCTTCCCAAGAAACCTTATAAGAGCCCTTCTTAAGGCCACTGACTAAAGGGCTGCCGCCGAGCTTCGCGGAGTTCGCGTCTGCCCAGCCCCGTCTGCAGGGCCCCAGTGCGGTCCGCTCCCAATGCCTCGGGAATAGTCTTTATAGGGGCCTTCATGATTAGAAGCATTTTTGGCGTCTAGGACACTGTAAATATGAGGGTGTAGGGTTCAGGGGTCAGGGTTTCAGTTTGCAGTATTGAAGGATCCAGCAAACACAGTCGAAAAAGGCTTCCGACATGTTCCTACTGCCGGTTTAGCTGGTGCCCTTGTTCTAAGAGTCCTGGTCTTGGCATCCTTGACGGAGCAGCTCGGGTGTCAACGGTACCCTAAACCCTTAACCCTCAAGGAAAGAAATCCTTGAACCCCCTTAGCCGCCAGCCCGTCCCCAAACCCAGCCCAGCCCCAGTCTCCGCCCCAGCCCCAGCCCAGCCCAGCCCCCAGCCTTGTCCCCACCAGCCAGCCCCAAACTCAAAATCAGGTTCCAAAAGAACAAAATATCTGCCAAAACTTCCGGTCAAAAGGTTTCGATTCGGTCCAAACTTATTGACACCGCAGGCCCTCAACAATTTCTATGAACCCTAAACCCGAAGCCCTTAGAGTGCTGCCCTTTCTTCGGTGCCAGGGCCCGAACGGCCTTCCGATGGCGAGCGCCACGAGGATTTCGCGTGGCCATGCGTCGAGGCCTCTGGAAAACCCAGGAAGTCTGGAACCCTAAGCGTCCATGTGCTCATATAGTTTAGGGTTTAGGGTTTAGGGTTTAGGGTTTCTACATTGGCCTTAATGTAGTCCCTATAGAGGTACTTTAGGGCCCATGTATATGCTATATGAATACATGGACCCTTAGGGGAATTTAGGATATTGATTGGGGTACCTTATTTTGGGGTCCTTATAATAAGGACCCTATTACTTGGGGTACTATATTAGGGTCCCCTATTTTCGGAAACTCCCATATTGTGCTGAAGGCTTCCGGCCTTCGACCTGCGGGTTTAGGGTTTAGGGTTTAGGGGTTTTGGTTTTGGGAGTTGAAGGTGGTTATAAGTGTAGGCTCGGAGCAGTTCACTTCCGAGCTGGGTCTGGCACAGCTATAGTACACCCTAAAGCCTAAACGGTTAAGGTTTAGGGTTTAGGGTTTAGGGTTTAGGGTTTAGGGTTCTAGGGTTTAGGATGAAGGGTTTCTTGGGTTCATAAATAGGGTTTAAGCTTGCTTCAGTTTAGACAAACTTCGGGAGTTCCTTGGTCAGCCACACCCCACTCTAAACCCTTACATCCGTAAACAATGCAACCGAAATAGAATCGTCACCCCCGAGGGTTAGATACTAGTTGCTAAATTGTGTACAGTGGTTCTACCATGACAATGCTCAATTCTCTAACTAACCCATAGTCACAAGCTGCCGCGGAAGGTATACTCCTTCATGAAATCGCCCTCTCTTACTGAGGATGATCAACGCCAGAAAGACAAGTGTGCAAACGAACCCTAGACCCTAAACCCTAAACCCCTAAACCGGAGCCACGGAAAGACGGAACTCTCGAGCACAGGTCACCGTACTTCTGCTCGAGCAGAGGGCAGCACGAGACGATTGCCAGCAGGGGAAGTTCCGAAGCCTGCCAATGCCCTAACCCTCCAGGTACCTACTATATAGGGCCCTATAGGGGCTCTAGTACCCTATATAGTAGGTACCTGGCGGTTTAGGGAATGTGTTGCGACTCAACATGTACAAGTAGAACGCTTGAGGATGGCTTCAGCATGATCACCTATCTTATCATTCTTGGAACTGCTGTTAGTATTGTTCATGAGATTCGGAGGCGCCTATATGCATAAACCGTTATTTTCCCAAACCTACATTCTGTTTCGAGCAGGGGCTGCAGAGCACACTGTATGGGACCTTCAGTGGCTGCACTGTTTGTATCCACTGACCTAGGACTGGTTGAAATCGCGATACCTAAAGATCCTACACGCTAAAGGGCCCTAAAGCTAGAAAGGAACATAACAACAAAGGTTGCTATTCAGCCATCGAGCCTAACGCCGAAAGGCCTGAATTCAACAAGAATCGGTTTCAGGAAACTCCTCTGCGCGATGTGGGTATCGGGCAGGTGGGAGCGGGGGTGGGGGAGGGGGGCATGGGTGTGTAAACGCCTAGGTAACATCCCAAACCCTAAACTTGACCGACTTTTGGCTTTAGGGCTTTCAAGTTCTCAGGGCATGGGATCCAGAATCCGTAGGGGGATTGCCTGTAGTCTCCATTGTAGTTCCTTCTCGGGGGTGTATCCTTGGTTTAGCCGAAAAAGGAACGGCAATATGGAGACGATAGGTGGGTCAATAGCGATAAGGATTACAACTCGACTTGAAAACTAAGTGCAGCGAGGCACAAACAGGCAATTTAGCACGATGGCACCTACACAAAAAAAAACTATACAATGCGCCTCTGTAAAGTCTGAAACCTATCCTGGTTCAATCGGCATTCGGCTCTCTGCGACCCCACAAACACAAACCGCCCTTTGTCAGTACCTTGGCCGACACTCGGCCGAGGTGAGGGCGTGGATCGGCCTGGGGCCATCAGAAATTTCAAACTCCCTAAACCCTAAACCCTAAACCCTGAACCCTTTGGGGCTCCGGGCTTTCTCATGGTTGTAGGCTCAGGCTTTAGGGTTGACGGCTTTCGGGGTTTTGGGTAATTTAAGCTTCAGGGGTTTGGGTAATTTAAGCTTAAGGTTCCAAGTCCAACCTTCCTCCGCCCAAACACATGCGCAAACCGAGCTCAAAAAAGATGTTATCCCTATCTTATATGAGGTCTCAGCCGTGTCGCATACTAGAGATGAGGAGCTTGAATTCATTGAAGGGTATGGCCGCCTGAAGATCTTCTGAGGCTCCGGTGATTCTGATTTCCAAGTAAGAGCTGTGCGGTGAGGGGTTGAGGGTTTAGGGTGTTTTTTTTTGCGCGACCCTTTTCCCCTCGCCGA